ATAAAACTTGGGTTCAATTGTGGTCATAATTCAAGGATTACCTGTACTGTATTTACTATGGTTGCCATGTCCTGGGGTCATTAGACTGCCACTTGCAACCTTCCCAGCTGGTAAGCAAAATCAATGGGAGAAGCTGAATTCATTTATCAATCTCATGATTCACTTTAACAACTGCAGAGATTCACTTAATGACCAGGGCAAAAAATTGCCTGTAATGTATTTAACCATCACCTTATTTAGCAACAGAAATTGTAGGTCAGAAGGTGTGTATTGTTAATACCTGTATGTTGGAATTAAGTTATGCTAGCTTAATTAAGGGACATGGTGGTTCAGTGGCTAAGATGCTGAGCTTGTCAATCAAAAGGTCAGCAGTTCAGCAGTTTGAATCCCTAGTGCCGCGTAACGGCGTGAGCTCCCGTTCCTTGTCCCAGCTTCTGCCAACCTAGCAGTTCGAAAGCACGTAAAAAGTGCAAGTAGAAAAATAGGGACCACCTTTGCTGGGAAGATAACAGCGTTCCATGCATCTTTGGCGTTTAGTCATACTGGCCACATGATCACAGAGACATTTTCAGACAGCACTAGCTCTTTGGCTTTGAAACAGATATGAGCACCACCCCCTAGAGTCGGGAACGACTAGCACATATGTGCAACGGATACCCTTATCTTTACCTAGCTTAATTGAGACACAAAAGGTAAAAAGTTGCAAAGTCTAGCTCAATAATATTATTTCTATTATATTTTAGGAGCATGTGTTCTGGGTACCACAATTTACACTCTTCTGGAGTTTTCAAAAGTTAAGTGGGTTTTGAGGTCACCACTTCAGTTCTGATTTCGTAAATGGCCAAACTGGAAATTGTAGTGTTGAACCAGACAAAATGCCACTAAACGCTAAATCCTGGTGCCAATAATAGTCATTATTTTTATCCACTAGGCATTAAGTTAAGGTTGGGCAATGTTACCATCATTACAATAGTTTTCAATTAGAATTTATTTATATTACATTTGGAGTGACAAGGAAGGAGAGTCAAATAGAGTTTGGATGAGAAGTACATGAATCTTGGTGGTCTTTGACCTTGGTTGTTTTTTTGCAGATGCTTCATTACCCAACCAGGTTAACATTATCAGTACCAAAGTGAAAAACCAGATTTCCACTAAAACTGCCAAAGCAAGCTGCTATATGTAAACAGGGATAAAACCCACCACACTCATCCTGATGAAGTTACCTAGTTGGGTAATGGAACATCTGCAATCAACCAACCTCAGAGAGCACCAAGGACCCCAAAGTTCAACCCTGAGCTACCAATACAGGTAGTCCTCTACTTACGACCTCAAGTGGATCCAAAATTTACATTGCTATGAGACAGTTATTAAGTGAATGTGGCCTCATTTGACCACCTTTCTTGACACAGATGTTAAGTGAATCACTGTAGTTAAGTTAGTTACAAGGTTGTTAAGTGAATCTGGCTTCCCCATTGACTTTGCTTGTCAGAAGGTCACATAAGGTGATCCCAGGAGTCAGTGGTGGGATCCTCCCAGTTTAACAACTGGTTTGGCGATCGCGCACTTTGCACGCGTGCATGCCTGACACATGCTGCACATGTGTGCAGTTTGAAGAAATCTTCACTTCCACGTTTCTTCGGAGGAGAAACACAGCTGAGGTGCGGCAATCTGCTCTGCCGTGTAAATCAGCTGAGAAGATAAAGTAGGAAAATAGTGCGGGTGAGCGGGTGGGCCCATCTGATCATTGGGGTGAACTAGTTCGTTCCCAGCTGATCGTTGGAACTACCGCTTCGTCCAAATTGGTAAACCCCAACCCTGCCAGGAGCCCTAGGACACTGTAACTGTCATATATATGAACCAGTTGCAAAGCATTTGAATTTTGATCATAGACTACACTAGATTAGACTACAATACGGAGCAGAATGGAACAGAACAGAATATGGAATGGAATGGAATGGAATGGAATGGAATAGAATAGAATAGAATAGAATAGAATAGAATATGGAACGGAACGGAACGGAACAGAATAACAAGAATTGGAAGCACCTTGGAGTCCAACACTCTGTTCAGGCAGGAAACCTGCCTATACCATTTCAGACAAATGGTTGTCCAATCCCTTCTTAAAAACTTCCAGTGTTGTTAAGTGAATCATTGCAGTTTTTAAATTGGTAACATGGCTGTTTAATGAATCTGGCTTCCCCCATTTATCTGGCTTGTCAGAAGGTCGCAAATGATGACCACATGACCCCTGGAACACTGCAACCGTCATAAATATGAAGCAGTTGCCAAGCATCTAAATTTTGTCCCTGGAGATGTTGCAACGGTCATAAGTGTGAAAAATGGTCACACTTTTTTCAGTCCTGTTGTAACTTTGAAGGTTCACTAAATGAAGTGTTGTAAGTCGAGGACGACCTCATTTGGCTGGCTTCAAATACAGCATTCAAACATAAACCATTGCCTAATCAACCATATTAGCTAGAAGACTTGACTACAAGAAAGGAATAAACATATTTGATTGAGAACACCGTTTGTCCAAATTGATGGTCACTGGCTTCAAAAGGCAGGGGTAAACAAGCCTTCCCTAATTTGGAGCCTTCTCCCACATTCACACTGTGCACTTAAAAATGGGTGGAGCTTCAATGTTCAGTCATTCCTACCATTTTGAAATCAATCATTGTTTCTGATCAGGTACTAAATATTGTATCAGCATCCTTTTCAAATACCTTTGTATTTATACAAAATGAGCTATACAATGGTGGCAGTCTCGTACTTCCATTGGTGACAAACTCGTTTTATTCAGAAATGCCTCACAGTTGGATGAATAAGTTTTGGTGTGAAGGTGGCTACCTTCACCTCGGATGGAAGCTGGAGTATAAATAGAAGATTTCTTTAATTTGAAGGTTCCTTACCAACCTTGGATGGGATCTTGCACTTCATTTTTTCAAGTTTTGCAACCTGAAGTAGTCTGTGATAAATTCTTTGTGACAGATTTGGCTTATGGAGTCCTCTTAAATGGATAACAATGTCAAAGAAGGATTTAATACTATTAATGATATGGACGTATTTGATATTCAGCAAAAAAATAAAGACTAACATCTGAAGTTCTTGAATAATCATACTTTCTCACCATATGTGTGGGTCTATGTCTGTCTACTCACTTAAATAAGGATAACTCTTATTTTTTCCCACTTAGAAAAAGATAGATTTTTAAATAATAAAAATATTTATCAATTGGTGAAAATTTATGAAAGAATTTAGAGTCAAGGCCAGGATTAGAAGAGGAACAATAGTTGCTTTTACATATATCTATTTAATTTAATTTATTTAAAATATTTGTACGGTTTTCTATGTTAAACCTAAATCTCGGTGGTTCACAAAATTACTAATGCTGACACACATTATTTTTTTAAAAAGAAGTTCTAGCTAACAGATAAATATTATACAAATGAAATAATCATAGTTTTAACTACCTCAATAAATTATCAGACAAAGGTTATGACTTTAAGAGTAAAATCTACTCATTCTAGGTATTCTACTTTTAATTTAAGTGGGCTTTCGGGGGCAGATGTTTTCGTGGACAGATTTTTTGTGTGTGGGGGAACTAATTCATAGTTCTTCAATTTTGCTGCCTCTGTTAATTAAGGTTCTTGCTGGCTGGGGAATTCTGGGAGTTGAAATCCATATGTCATAATGTTGCCCAGTGGTGGGATGCAACGGGTTTAAGAACTAGTTTGGTGAGTGCGCGCTTACGTGCAGCGTTCAAAATACAGCAATTTGAATTTCAGCTGCTTACCTTCTAAGGTAACCCTGGCAAGTAGAACAGCGGAGGTGCGGAAAAGCAGCTGTGCCATGCAAATCAGCTAAGCCAGAAAGAAGGATATAAAGGACAGGATAGGACAGGGGCTGGTGGTCAGGCCCAGCTGATCATCAGGGATACCGGTTTGCCTGAACCTGTCCGAACTGGCTGAATACCACCTCTGATGTTGCCAAAGTTATATAGCCATAACCTATGAGGACTTGCAGAGGTCCTAATATGGCAAGTTCTAATAGAGAATAAAGCTGTGTAACAACTGAATGGAAGAGACTGGCAAATGGCTATAGAACAGTGCTGACAAACCTTTTTGACACTGATTGCTCAAACCGGAATGTGCGTGAATATGGGTGCAAGCATATGTGTGCGTGCCAGAGTGCTGGAAACCCCAAGACCAGCTGGCCAGCGCATGTTTTTTGGCTGGCCTGTTTTTTTGCTGTTTTTCAGGCCATTTTCCAGGCTGTTTTTGGCCTGAAAACGGCTGGAAAACAGCCTCTCTTTTTTTTTTGCCTTTTTTGGGGCCATTTTCAGGCCGTTTTCTAGTGCTCCGGTGCTCGCAAAGGCCAGCTGGCTGGAAACCAGAATAGCAGCTGGCAATGGTGCACGTGCCCACAGAGAGGGCTCTGTGTGCCACCCCTGGCACACATGCCATAGGTTTGACATCACGGCTATAGAAGAAACTCTTTTGAGCAGGAGCCTGTTTATACCTGTAGAAACAAGCAGTGGTGAAATGTAAATTTTGTTACTATTGGTTCTGTGGGTGTGGCTTGGGGGGGTAATATGACTGAGTGGGTGTGGCCAACTTTTTTTTAAAAAAAAACTTTTAAAACCATTTTTTGTACAACCTTTTCGGCTGAAGAGGTTGTAAAAAAAATGCTTTTAAAAGCCTCTGAAGATCCCAGTTGACTTGCCTGATTGGCAGAGGCTTTCTTTTTTTTTTTTAAAGCCTCTGACAATTCCAGCTGACTTGCCTGATTGGCAGAGGCTTTTTTTCCTTTTAAAAACATTTTTTCTATAACCTCTTTGGTGGAAGAGGTAGTAGAAAAAATGCTTTTAAAAGCCTCTGATGATCCCAGCTGAGCTGCAATCATCAGAGGCTTTTTTTTTTTTTACTTTTAAAAGCATTTTTTTCGGCCAAAGAGGTTGTAGAAAAAATGCTTTTAAAAATAAAAAAAAAAGCCTCTGATGATTGTGCGGCTCAGCTGGCCAAGGGGTGAGGGACAAGAATTATTGCTACTGGTTCTCTGAACCACCCACCTTCATCGCTACCGAATCAGGCGATCCGGTCCGAACCGGGAGCATTTCACCCCTGGAAACAAGCATATTTTAGTTAATGAATGATGGTAATCTGAACCATAGATGAAGGCTTCTATGTGGAGATCATCATATGTGAAATTTTCCAAATTTCAAGGATCCCCCACCCCTTTATATTGTGAAGCCCTAAACTATACGTTGCGTAGGTTATGATTAAATATGGCTCCAGGGTATCTGCATAAAAGGTGAGTTTTGATTGTATAGTTCTGACTCCGATCTTGACTTTTTTGCCCCTCTCTTCTTGAAGACGCACCTGTTTGGCTCTATCCCCAACCCTGGTACGAAATCTGAAAATAAATCAACAAGGAAGAATTCATGAAGATGGCTATAATAAAACAAGTTATGGTTACCCCAAAAGGAATGAGCAGCTCATAAAATCAGTTTATCTAAATGGATCAATTCACACACGTTTTAGTTTTATCTAAACGTCCAAGCTAGGATGCAAATAAACAAAACAAAGGAGAAATTAAACAAAATGCCCCTTTTTCTGGTTTGTAAGCCTTCAGGTTTTTTTTGAGTGAACATGGTAAATGAGCCTAAAGGACTCATTAATTAAATTCAATTAATTAACATTAATGGCAATCAATCATCTAAACCCTTTTGTGGAAACCACAGCATCGCATTCGTTTGACCCAATTATCGGTATTAATTTATCTGATGCACCAATACCGCCCCAAATAACTCTACAACTTTGGAGATCTCTGTTCTGAATGCACTTAATCATGTACGTGACATTCAGCTAAAAGGCTTATGGGAATTATTAATGAAAGGATACAATTAAGTCTGCATCCTTCAAAGTGCAAAACCACAGATCTCCCCAAATTTTAACTTCTGTGATAATAGCCTGAATTTGGGTCATATGCTCCAATTCCAGTGATGAAATCCAATTTTTTTTACTACCGGTTCTGTGGGCGTGGCTTGGTGGGCGTGGTATGGCTTGGTGGGCATGGCAGGGGAAGGATACTGCAAAATCCCCATTCCCTCCCTATTCCTGGGGGAAGGATATTGCAAAAACTCCATTCCCACCCCACTCTGGGACCAGTCAGAGGTGATATTTGCCAATTTTCTGAACTACTCAAAATTTCCGTTACCAGTTCTCCAGAACCTGTCAGAACCTGCTGGATTTCACCCCTGTCCAATTCTCACTTCAGTTCTAAAAATACCACAAAATAAGGAAACAGTTCAGGACAATACATTAATAGAGTCCACTAATGTTGTCATTTGAATGCAATACAGATAGTCTTTAACTTATGACTGTACATGTGGTTCCTCAACCTCACTCAATAGTAGTAACTGTGAGAGGGATCTTAGTGTACACAGAGTCCTAGTGTACAATCATTTAAACATGAGCCAGCCGTGTGCTGCAGCTGCCAAAAAAGGTAATGCAACCCTAGGCTTCATTAACAGAGGGATAAAATCAAGATCACGTGAAGTGTTGATACCACTTTATAATGCTTTGGTAAGGCCACACTTGGAATCCTGCATCCAGTTTGGTTTGGTTGCCACGATGTCAAAAAGCTGTTGAGACTCTGAAAAGAGTGCAGAGAAGATCAACAAAGATAATTGGGCACTGGAGGTTAAAACTGAGGACCCAGTTTGTGGGGGCAATAAGCTGACTTTGTATAAATATACAAAAGTATGAAGGCTATTGCTTAGCGCATTGTAAGCTGCCCTGAGTCTCCGGAGAAGGGCAGCATATAAATCAAATAATAATAATAATAATAATAATAATAATAATAATAATAATAATAATAATAATAATATAAAAAAAAAACATATAAGGAATGGTTGCTGGAATTGGGTATGTCTAGTTTGAAGAAAAGAAGGACTAGGGGTGACATGATAGCAGTGTTCCAATATCTCAGGGGCTGCCACAAAGAAGAGGGAGAAAAGTTATTCTCCAAAGCACCTGAGGGCAGGACAAGAAGCAATGGGTGGAAACTAATCCACGAAAGAAGCAACTTAGAACTAAAGAGAAAATTCCTGACAGTTAGAATAATCAGTGGAACAACCCGCCCCCAGAAATAACAGTAACAGAGTTGGAAGGGACCTTGGAGGTCATCTAGTCCAACCCCCTGCTCATGCATTTTGTATTTGATGTTTTTATTTGGCTGTTCATCGCCCTGAGTCCTCAGGGAGAAGGGCGGTATACAAATTCAAAAAAAAAATAAAAAAAAATGCAGACCTATACTGGTGATTCGAACCACCAACCTTTCTGATCGACAAGCTCAGCATTTTAGCCACAGAGCCACCTAGTTGTGAATGCTCCAACACTCCAAGTTCTTAAGAAGAGATTGGACAACCATTTGTCTGAAATGGCCTAAGGAGGGGGTTGGACTAGAAGACCTCCAATGTCCCTTCCAACTCTGTTATTCTATTCTAAACCTATAACTGCAATGGATCTTGCCCATTATGATTGCAAAGGGTGACAATTACTGAGACAGCCTTGCTTAACGACCCATACCCCTGCTCTCCCTGATGCCACTACAGATAGCCCTCCACTTCCAAGAGTTAATTTAGTGACTGTTCAAAGTTACAACAGCATTGAAAAAAGTGACTTATGATCTTTTTCACACTTATGAGCATTGCAGCATCCCCATGGTCATGTGATCAAAATTCAGACGCTTGGCCACTGACTCATATTTATGACGGTTGCAGTGCTCCTGGGGTCATGTGACTGCCTTTTGTGATCTTCCGACAGGCCAAGTCAATGGAGAAGCCAGATTCACTTAACAACTGTGTTGCTGACTGAACCACTTGAAGTGATTCACTTAACAACTGTTGCACGAAAAGTTGTAAAACGAGGGAAAACTCACTTAACAAATATCGCACTTAAAAACAGAAATTTTGGACTCAATTGTGGTCGTTGAGTTGAGGGTTACCTGTATTAGGTTGTTAAGCATGAATGGGGTAACCCATGCATGAGGTAGGCCCTATGAGGCCCACCACCCAGCTGGGTCAATAAAGGAAGCAGACCAGTAGTGGTTTCACTTATCTTTGCTACTGGTTCGCTTGCGAGCACCACTTCTGTGCATGCGCAGAGCGTATTTGATGATGTTCAGGTGGGTGGGTGGAGCCTCCCATCACCGCTGCTACTGGTTCACCGAAACCGGGGCAAACTGGTAGCAATCCACCACTGAAGCAGACAGGTAGCAAAATGTTTGCAAAGGCAGAAACAGCCCACAGGGAGTAAGAGCTCAGCTGGATTAGGGCCTAGTGCTGCATTCCAATGCCAGAGAAGCTTCCAAATAAATCTTTGGGCTTGGCCAATGAGGCCCCATCTGTGGGCTGGGCCCCTGCCCTGGTCAGCTGGCCTTCTGGAGACTGAAAATCTCTCCAGAATCTTCCTAGGCTTTTGGGAAGCCAGCCGCCTGCATGCAAAGAAATGAAGCAGCTTCAGCACAAGGTTCCCAAAACCTTTCTTTGCTTAACCCCACTCCAGGAGAAAGCCATATTTCTTCAATAAAGAAAAGAAAAAAAGGGGGGGGCGGGGAAGGGTAGGTGGGACAGACCTATTAATTTTTCTTCTCTCCCCCCCCCCATTAGGTGCTGAAACCCTCTGCTTCTGCCTTCTTCTCTCTCTATCCCTTTTACCCACCTTCATTTGCTAAATTTACTGCAATTCAGCAGAAGTTGCGTCTTTTTTTGCTGCTTGTCTGCCTTTAGAGGAATCCCAGCTGGGTTTGAAAGGGAGTCAGCTTTCTTCAGCTCCTCAAGGCAAAGAAGCAGCAGAAAGTTTTTCCTCCCTTCCTCTGTCTTGGCAGTCACTCATCAGGATAAATAACTTCAGATTTTGTCACCTTTCCAGGCATCCACTAAATTTAGCAAAAGGGATGATAAAAAGGGATTGAGATTAGAGGACGGGGTAAGGAGTTCAGTGACTGATGGTATCTTATCTGCCTATAGTTGAGCCTGGGATTATGGTTGTAAACTATAGCAATTGTTAAGTGGGTTACTACAAGTCCAACGCTGATTTTGTGATGTTTACAGTGGTTGTTAAGCGAATGCTGCAGTCGTTAAACAAACTCTGTAGTCAGTAAAGCAAATATATCAATTGTCAGATGAATCCATTATACCCAATGGGTGGTTTTTTTTCTGGAAACCAGAAGTAAACGCCAGGAACCAGCAAAAAACCCACCAAAAATGGTTTTGGAAGATGGTAGCCAAGTGCCCAAAATGTAATCATGTGACTGTGAGGGAGAGGTCTGGCTGTTGGAACTTTGAACTACCTGGAATGGTCCATTCTAAGCTTGAATGGTTGCTAAGCAGCCAGTTGTTAGACTACATATACCTCCTATATTTTCCCAAAACCATTGACCAAACTTAGAAGTGTTTTTATTCTGCACTGGGCCTCTTCATCTGTGAACAGATACTTAGTCTTGCCCACACTGTTAAACTATGGTTTAGCATTAATGAAGGATTGTGCTAAGCTCAAAGCCTCATTGATCAGCTGATCTCATAAAAATTTGTCAGATAAATTAATAGCGGCATAAAAGGAATTGCTCAGCCTAGATTTTCTTGCAATTTTATTTTATTTTATTTACAGCCATAGACCCAGAGACCAGAACAAATTTTGCAATTTTAAAAATATATTTGATAACAATGGAAGAAAATTAAAGATTAAATCTTTAGCTAACAGAATCCAATTCTCTTTACAGTTTAAATTATGACTGGTCTAATATATACAACTTTTGCTTTTTACTTGATTTCAACTCTGCGTGCTTTGTCAACATGGACATAATTATTGTCATCAATCCAAATCAGTTTTACTGCAGGATGAAAACTTCTTTTGTTAGAAAGCTAACATACAATCATTTGTCTAGCAACTGCTCAAAGTTACAATGACACTGAAAAAATGACTTTATAACTTGTCCTTGCACTAATGATCATCATAGAAGCCCCATGATCATATGATCAAAATTTGGTTCTTGGCAAATTTTATTTACATATTTTGGATAGCTGCAGTGTTCCCGGTCATATGATTACTATTTGGGACCTTCTCAGTTAGCTTCTGAGGAAATAAATGGGTGAAGCTGGATTCACTTAACAATTGCAGTGATTCACTTAACAACTGTGGCAAAAAGGTCATAAAATTGTGTGCAATTCATTATGATGAATGATTAAAGGGACAATGTTTAGCCTGCAGAAGATAAGGTGGAAGACAAAGATGACAGCAAGTATCTCAAACAGAGGATGGAGGGAAATTCTCTTGTCATCTACGGGTGGAATTGAGGCAAGAACAAAAATAATAGTTTAAAACTTTAGAGAATGGAAAGAATTTCTTGGCTTAAGAACTGTCAGCCAACGGAACTGGCTGCCCCATAAAGTGAATTTTTCACTTCTTTGAAGGCCTCTAGACAAGAGCAATAATTTTAGCATATCTTGCAGTGAAAAGTGCAAATTGGGCCACTTGGAGATCTCTCCTCACTCCGTTTTTTATTAATTTGCATAGCTATTGGAGATTGAGCAAGTCAGCTAGGCGCTGCCATTTTTTTTTTTTTTTAATTTGATTTATATGCCGCCCTTCTCCGGAGACTCAGGGCGGCTTACAGTGCGTTAAGCAATAGCCTTCATTCTTTTGTATATTTATACAAAGTCAGCTTATTGCCCCCACAAACTGGGTCCTCATTTAACCTACCTTAGAAAGGATGGAAGGCTGAGTCAACCTTGAGCCTTGGAGAGATTCGAACCAGCAGTAAATTGCAGGCAGCTGTGTTAATAACAGGGTGCTTTGCCGTGATGCTAAAGAATAATCTACATTTTATAGATGAAATACAGTAATAATTTTAATTATGCTCTGTTTCTTCTAAATTTAAAGCATCACATGTAATTGAAATATCACTTCATTTTAACACCTTCTAAAACTTCGCATCTTCATGTGTTGTCCTCCAGGTGTGCAGTTTCAATCCACTCCCATCACATTATGGCAACCTGAAAAGAGCCATGTTGAATTAAACTAAGATTAATTTAACCTAGGTTAAATTAATTTTAGGTTAAACTACACAAACAGAAGGTGGACAAATATAAGGTGTATTAAATACAACACAAACACACACAGACCCCAACCTGTCATAATTTCAATCAAAGCCGAAGGCGAGCCAATTTTAAAACTGCTTTTGTTCAGAAAGCCCCGATCTCACCACAATTTCGAACCAAGGTGTGGCTTTGCGGGAAGGCAATGTGTGATTGTTGCCAGAAAGAAGCGATGCAAAATCAGACTCCCCTTTGAGAAGGTCTTTTTTTTTCTTTTAAATGAGGTATAGAGCGTTGGGTAGCCCATTCGCCTTTGCCAAATTAAGTGTTGTACCTTATGATTCTTGACGACTGTATCTTCTCTTTTTATGTACACTGAGAGCATATGCACCAAAGACAAATTCCTTGTGTGTCCAATCACAGTGGGCCAATAAAGAATTCAATTCAATTCAATTCAATTCAATTCAATTCCATTCCATTCCATTCCATTCCAATTCAACTCTCCACTCCACTCCAGTCCAGTCCAGTCCACCCCACCCCACTCCAATTCAGGGGTGAAATCCAGCAGGTTCTGACAAGTTCTGGAGAACCGGTAGCGGAAATTTTGAGTAGTTTGTGACAAATACCACCTCTGGCTGGCCCCCGAGTGGGATGGGAATGGAGATTTTGTAGTATCCTTCCCCTGCCACGCCCACCAAGCCACACCCACAGAACCAACAGTAAAAAATTTTGAATTTCACCATTGACTATTCTATTCTATTCTATTCTATTCTATTCTATTCTATTCTATTCTACGTCCAAGCGAGGGGGGCGGCCCACCAGAAGATTCTGCCTCAGCCCCGCCTTCCAAATCCGCCTCCCCGTCGCTCTTCCTCCGATCCGACAGGCGGAGCGAGCGGCGGCGGCGGCGGCGGCCCTTTCGTCAGGTTGTGGGGAGAGCTGAGGGGACGGGACTGACGGACAGGAGACAGACAACACACGCGCACGCGCAGAGCAGGTGGGCGCGCGCCGTGCTAACTGCAGTCGGCGGCCATCTTCTTTGAGGAGCCGGGTGATTCGCTTCCCACCCCCACCCCCCACCCCTTTCAATCGCGTCAGCCTTCCAATCGCGGGCCACCGCTGAGGCCTGGAAGCCCCGAGAGGAAGCCGGGAAGTGGGGCGAAGAAAGAGCCCTTCGGGCTTGTTGGGGGAAGAGGAGGAGGAGGAGGAGGTAGTGGTGGTGGACCTAAGCGAGGCTGGCCGTCGGTGGTGCTTTCCAGCCAGGTCAGGTCAGGTCATCTCCTCGGCTCTTCTTCTTCTTCTTCTTCGCCCCGTCCGGCTGAGGAGGCCGGGCCGAGCTCCGGATGGGCGGCTAAGCGGCCGGGCACCATGTTCAGCTTCGAAGGGGATTTCAAGACCAGGCCCAAGGTCTCTCTCGGCGGAGCCAGCAAGAAGGTAGGCCTCGCGAAAGGCCGGCGTGACTCAGGCTTCTAGGGGTGGGTGTGGGGGGGTGGGAGGCTTCCCGGACCACCACCTCCCCCCGCTCCCCTTCGCCTCTCCTCTCTCCGGAGGTGATTTCCACTTCGGGGAAAGGCGGACCCCCGAGAAAGCTTGGGTCGGAGGAGAAAGCGCTGAGCTGACCCCGGGAAAGGCTTGGCGAATGGGGGGGATATCGCCTCTCCAGGCTGGGTCGGGGCCCTTTTGGGAGCTGCCATGCCCTGTGTTTCCTCCCCCCCCCCCAACCTTCCTCTGTGGTGCACCGGCGGGGAAACAGGCCTTGTGATACTTGGATCTATATTAGAAAAGAGTCCCTTCACTGGGTGGGCTTAAAACCTGGTCAGCCAAGGGCTTTGCTCAGGATTCTGGGAGAATGGAGTATTTGGAGATGTTTTGGGTTATTGGAGGTGGACAGGGGGATGTTGATGGGATGGTGGAGGTGGGGAGAGTGGTTAGACAAGTTGACTTTTTAAGCACTTGGTTCCTAAATGTCTTGTTCCTCTCTCAGCTTTGGTGACTGTAAGATGCCTGGGCTTCATCTCCCAAAATCTCCTAGTCACTATGCTGTCTGGGGAATTCTGGGAGTTGAAGTGTAGGGATCTCAAACTTGGCTGAAGTTGAAAAGCACTGCTTGTTGGGCAACAGACAATGGAGGATGTTGAAATTCTGGATTCTATTAAGAGCACCAAGATTGCCTGTCATCTGCATTGTGTTTAAATATTGTGGTTCAGCTTTGACACAGTTGAAACTTGTTTAAAATCTGGCTTCTGTTTTGAATGGTGGTAATGTAAACATTTTCCTGTCCATGTGGAGAATATTACTTATATGATTGTTATCTATAGGAAAGAATAGATACAATACAAATTCAATTGTTCTATATTGGTTTATGTAAACTGATCACATATCTCATATATACCCATCATCACCTAAAATTGACACTGTATAGTCTGTTTTAATAGGGTTTGTATAATATGTATACAAATTAAAGGTATAATGAAATTGGGGTAAATATTACCTTCAGTGCAGTGTTGTGAAATCACATTTTCATGAACCAGATATCCATTAGAAATGCATTATGTAATAATTCCTCTAAATTATGGACCATGATTTACTACTGACCTCTAATACCTAAAAAGCCTTTCATCCTTATCAAACCAGTCAGATATTATGTGGAATGAGAATAAATCAGTATGTAAAAAAGTGGCAAGTGGTATAACATCCTTTATTTACATTTGGTGGATTTATGTGTTTGTCATCAGTTCTAAATACAGTCATACTAAAAGATAATGCTGGTTTCTCGAAAAAGTGCTCAGGCATAATTAGCATACAAAATATATACATGGGTCAATCCAAACAGAAACTGTTGAGACTGGTTCTGGTCAGCAAAGGAGTGAAATGGGATTGTATTTCATTCTCTTGTTTATTTAACCTAAATACTGAATATCCATTGAGGAATGGAACCAATTGCATTGGAAGAAGATGAGGATGGTTTTAAAAACTGAAGAAAATAACTTGCACTATAGGGACACTATTCTGAGAGCTGAAAATGCAAATGATCTGCAAGTTCCACTAACTAAGAGCACAATGAAAAAATGTAACTAACATTAAATATAAAGAACCCAAACAAATTGAAGTATTTATATTAATAAACAAGATTTTTAAACGTTGCTTTTGGATTCTCACAGTGTCTTTCTGGATTAATGTTTGTGGAAAAAAGAGAATATAATTTTTTTATTAGCCAAATGTGATTGGATACACAAGGAATTTGTCTTGATGCATATGCTCTCAGTGTACATGAAAGATACGTTCATCAAGAATCATAAGGTACAACACTTAATGATAGTCCTAGGGTACAAATTAGATAGATTTGAATCTATCCTGGTTTTGGTTGGCAGGTGAATTGTACAATTGCTTTTGCCATTGATGCATACAGGTAGTCCTTATGACCACGATTGCGCCCAAAATTTTTGTTGCTAAGCAAGATTTGTTAAGTGAATTTCCCCCCACTTAACGACCTTTCTTGCCACAGATATTATGTGAATCATTGAAGTTGTTAAATTAGTTGTATCAACATTTCATTAGTTTATCAGAATATAAAATACAAAGGAAAATAAAAAAAATAATTGGAACTAGGGGAAGGGAAAAAGGAAAAAGAAAACGTAGGGGAAAAGGGGAAAAAGAAAGAAAAAGGTGGAAGAGAGACTTGGAAGTCGATGCTGAAGTTAAGTTAGTAACCTGGTTGTGAAGTGAATCTGGCTTCTCCATTGCCTTTGCTTTTTAAAAGGTTGCAAAAAGTGATAATATGACTCTGAGATACTGTAACTGTCATAAATATGAACCAGTTGCCATGTGTTTGAATTTTGATCACCTGACCATGGGAATGCCACAATAGTTGTGTGAAAAAATGGTCATGAGTCACTTTTTTCAGTGCTTACAGCAGTCATTAAATGAACTGTTGTTATCGAGGACTACCTGTATTTCAGTTTGTTTGGAAATAATGAAATGACCATAACCATTATTGTATGACATGAAACAAGCTAACATTGATACTGTTGCTGCTAAAACATGTCATCATAATATTTTGGTGTGGCTGAGATCAATATCAAGATGTGTAGATTGATGATATTGTAAAATAATGTGACTCAGAAGGTACTTTTTAAGGGAAGACTTTCTCAACTATTCAGTTGGTAGTGGCAATGTTCCCAAGGTATATTAAGAGTGAGGATGTGCCAGCATTCCTAGCACTTGTATTTGCTGTGAGTGGCTTAAAGCTTCCTGCAGTGTCCATTTTGGTTTGATAGAAAGTGTGTTAAGGACTACTTCCATTTGGAGCTCAGACAATACAATAACTACAAAAATTGATTAAATAAAGCAGCGGCCCCCAACCTTTCTGGCTCTGTGGACTGCCGGTGCCATAGGCGGAGGGGAGAAGGAATGGTTTTGTGTGTACCTGTGACACTTTCACAAATGCAGCTTCGTGCTCTCACATGCTTGCCCGCCACTTGTGCAGCCCAGTTCCCAACTGGCTGCAGCCCCGGGGTTGAGGATCCATGGATTAAAGGACAATCTTTAAAAAATAAACAAAAGGGAAGCTTCTGCTGCGATATAGTAGATTAATAGTTATGAGTGATACTAGTTTTTTTTTCTATTCCAGTTCAATTCTCATTCAGTGTGTTTTTTACAATCTCAGACTAATGGGAGTGGCCCATTTTCACTTGAAATAATTCATGGGATGACAAAATTTCACTGTGTAGACAAAAAATAAACCATATGCTGACCATCATAAAGATTTGATTTGATTAGCTATAAATGGGCAGCTTGCAGTATGTAGTAGTATTTGAGTTATGGCTCATAGCACTGTTATGAATGGCTGGAAGGCCATGATGTTGACCCTAGAGTAAAATAGGAAAGCTTGACTACATGCTTTCAATTGACTCCTTGACCACATGCTTTCAAGCAGTAGGCTTGTGGCTCTGTGTCAGGAGTGTTAAACTCAAGGTCTGGGGCCCACATCTGGCCCACGAGGTGCTTACATCTGGCCCGCAGGGCCGCCCTGGAAACAGTGAAGGACCGGCCCGTGGTGCCTCTGCCAGTAAAAACAGGGCTGCATTTTCGCTGGCAAAGGATTGCAGGAGGCTATCGCAGACGAAAACGGAGCTCAGGAGCCCATTTTTGCCAGCAGAGCACTCAGGCCACCACAGGCGCCACCCTACGAGTGATGTTGATCTGGCCACACCCACGCTGGCCACGGTCACCCCTGATGTGCCCTTCAATGAAATTGAGTTTGACACCCCTGCTCTATGTGAACAAAAAGACATCTTCAGATTGAACTCAGTGCTGAGTTATTTCTTTGACAAGTCACACATATTTCTTGACAATTTGCCATTGCCATCTTTCCTGGTGTTTTTTGATTTCCCAATCTAGTACTTAGTGGCAAGGTTTTTTGAAAAAAAAAATTACAATACTGTAACACCTTTCCAAAAGAGAAATAAAAATTTGAATTTCACCACAACAGTTTATCAGTTTCTGGTTAATATCTAAAGTGCGTATAGGCTGCTTGGAAGTCTAAACAAATTCTACTGAGTATCCCTTGTTGATAAAATACTGTTTCTATTGAGTCTTACCAGTAGTGGTATGATTATGTGATCAAATAATATTATAATAAACACTGCAGTCAAATCTCCCTCCCGTTCTTTAAAAATTTGAATAGTATTTCAAATGTGTCTTAATGCAGCATCCCAAATGCATTTGGTCTAGATGTTAAAAACCATGAAATATTTTCTGTGTCTTTTTCCTGTAATGAAAACTGTAGGAAGAGTGTAAAGTTCAGCAGAGAAGACTGGTTTGAATTCAGAATTGTATTGAACAGAATCCCACAAATGTAGGTGGTCCATGTGTGGAGTAGGGAAATGATAATTTTATGCTGATTTTTTTCTCTCAAAAAAATTCTCTAAGGACATACATGCACTTCAG